GTTATTCTTCAAAAAATAAATAAATCTATATCCTGTCTAAATTTCGGGGAAACATTGTAAGAAGGGCTGTACAGTGTACATAACTGCTATGCGTAAAAAACCACATGGTCATTCTTTGTGTAGCAAATTTTTGTCCCTTCAAGAAGATCATAAAAAAGAAACTTTCACAAATTAGAATTCAAATTTAATTTCTTTTGTTTTTTTGTTTAATTTTTTTGAGTCGCCACCGATCCTAATAACCAGTATACTTAATCAAAGTTCTCTATCTTTTCACAAAGTTCTTGATCTTTTCACGACCCACCGAGATTCCTTTTGCGACCCATAGTTTGGGAACCGCTGAGTCCTATACAATTCCTCTGAGCTCCTAATTGCCAACCACCGCTGTATATATCTATCATTATTCTAATAAATATCCAATAGCATTTTTATATATTATTTTCATAATTATGCTACCGAGCCAAGATCTGTATATCCAAAGCATCTGACAATATACAAATCAAGAGTTCCAGCAAAATATTTTTTTCCGAATAGGCTACTTTGTGCACTTTTTAACTTTATATCTAATTGTGTTATGAATTTGTGATACATATTGTTTTTCCAACCATTTAGTCTTCTTATAAAGAAATGTATTAGCTGACAAATTTCATAGTTCATGCTGAAATGGATTCTACTAAATCATTATCTCATCCAGAAATTAAGTCAACATAAAAAAAATTTGTCTGCTGTCAATTTTGAAAGGTATATAAGATAAATTAGAAAAATAATAGTAATATTATTGTGCTTTTTTACAAATAATTTTATAAACTTCTCCCAATTTTTTATGCTTAATTAATATCAGATTCTCAAAAATGTCACGTTTCACACTTGTGTTTTTTACCCATTTTGCTGCACTAGTACCACACTGAGTTGGAGCAGATATATATTGTATCGAATGGTCCAAGTAAGCGTGTGAAGTGGCTTTAGCAGAAAGTTTGAGTGAGTTGTACGGAGTGTGTTGTGTGGCACAGTATTTTGAGACATATAATTAATTTGGCGCTTCATATTGTCCATAACAGTTCCTAGACCGCTTTTGACTAATTTTTATTGTAATATTGATTTTATTAAATTATTAAAGCTGATTCTGCAACAATTTCTATGTTTATTGAGAAAGCCAAACTAATAAAGGAATCATGGTGGGCAGAGACAGATGGGATGTTTGTCACCATACAGCTAAACAGGTTAAAACACTGCACTTATATGCCTGAGGCAGCCAAGGGGGCGCTCCAGAAGTATGTGAACCAAGATGGCGAACACCGGAACGTAGTATGTGTACCAGGTTAAGGTTGGGCCATAAGTTTATTCCAATTTTCCTCATTTCAGTTCTATTACGAGTTCGGGGACTAGCCAAGTGACTCTTGTAGTATTTGTACCTGAATATATGGCCTAACCCTAACCTGGTACACATACTACGTTCCGGTGTTCGCCATCTTGGTTCACATACTACAGGAGTACCCCCGTGGGAGTTCCATATTGATTCAACATTAGTTATATTCGACACTTAAAATTTTTAATTTCGGAAAAATAATTTTGAGTAATTGAAGTATCACGGTGTGACCAAAGTTTTTATCTAGTTTTTGAAAAACTCATTAAAAATAGAAAGTCGCTGCTAATTTGCAACTTTTGTGAACAAATAAATCTGATTGGTATTTATCTGCTGCATTTTAAACATATTCAATACTCAAAATTTTTTTTATAATCTCTTTGGAATAGAAGATTGTACTGTTTCGGCCCTCCTGTAGGAAAAATAACTAAATGTAGGATAAAATTCCTTTTTATTATATGATGCCTAATTGTGCTTTTCGAACCGAACAAAGCCCTGCACAAGCAGTCAAAGAAATCCAGCGGCAAGGAGACACCCTAGGTGAGGTTGGGGCAGGGGCCATAGGGGCAGCATGATATAGGAGTGAGTTTATTGCAAAGTTTGATAAGCGCCTGGGTTGGGGACGTGGAATTTGAACCTGAAATTTGTAATCTGCAATGCCAACGAATAGAGGTCTATGATTAGAATACTATCATAGATAGGCTGAATGTAATGAATCAAGTAAACTGATTTGCTGGAGTTGACAAAAGTTAATTACGGCTTAAATTGAGCTCTCAGATAAGTGTTCAGGTTTAAAAAAGTGTTTTCGATGAGTAGCGTTCAGGTATTCATCTTTTTCCCTACAACCAACAAAGTTGGTTCTACCGTGGAAGCAATGGAGCCTTGCTGTTTATCACTGCCAGAACAAAATGTAATGTAGGTGGAAGCGGCAGGGTAATATTTTTTGCTTTTTTTAAAAGCGATTCAGAACTTTTCCAAGTGTCTCAAACCATTGCGTTCTGTTGGCTTTTATACTGCTTGCGAGATTTCGAGACATATTGAAGAAAACAAGGCAGTGTGGCGCATCGTGCTAAGCGTTAGGAATAATTTTGTATCGTAATGTTGGAATCCCATGCCGGATTGATTATGTTCGAGAACAATGCTCCTCTCTGTCGTAGCGTGGTTCGCGTAACAGCTCCATGCATCTGAAAACTGGTCAACTGATCCCATACCCGATATGGAAGGGTGAACCGGACGTGAGACCGTGGTTCGCCATATGGTAAAGCCGCCTTATCGGCCTTCCTCTCCCTCGGGAGAAATATGTATATCCTCCTCCTTCTCCAACTGCGAATGGTCGAAGTTTGAGGCTTCTTGGAATGTTTCGATTTTGAATGGGCCTGTGAACAACAGCGCCACCAATCAGATATATAGTAAATCTAATATTTCTATTCAGAACATTTTTCAAATTATGAACAACCATCAAATCTAAAACATTTAGGGAAAGTATTGAATGAAAATAGATTGAAAATATGTCTGCTTTGTTCAGTGGCGTATCTAGGTAAAATGGCGCCCATGGCAAAGATTTAAAAATGCGACCCCTCCTTCGCTTGTTTCCTTTTTTCGTTTACATGAAATTGATGGCTCTCAACTACGCAACATAACAAGCAATTTAATAACTACACAATAAACAGTAGACGGTCGGGCAATAACAAAATCTTAGAATAGTATATTTCGTGACGCAAATTTGCCAATGATTTCATCAAATTTTTTTTTTTTGTTTCACCCCTCTCTATACTTAATATAGCCAGATCACAAAGCTTTCCTGGCTAATTGAAATCGAAGGTATGACAGAATTAATTTTAGTTTACTAAACGACCGATCGCAATTTTCTATGGATACTGCCAATGTCAGCAAAATTTGCAAAGCCATCCGGAGATTGGGGAAATTCAAAAAAGACTCTTTGACACACACTGTTTTCTCGTCATAGTCTATATCTTACATGGGCCTGATGCTTCCACAACCAAATTTCGATGTTTTAGCTGAAAAATAGCTCGAGGAATTTGTTGAGATTTTGGCACGAGGCTAATTGTTTTCCACTTTTGCTTTTGTAATACAGTAAATTTTGTCCATAATATGTAACTTTTTTCGTCACACTTACATGGCCCATCACTATAGGCGGGCAAATTGTTTGTAAGAGGTTGAATGTGGATGGCTTCCAATGGAACCAAGATGCTCTCGCAGCACAGGATCAAGGACGGCAAGGAATTTTATTAAGCCATGAAAATGACCAACATTTGAATTACTATCTGCTTGAAGTGACTCCCTGTGCCCTCGCAAAGCGAGATTTTGTTCCGCCGGACACTTTATTTCATGCGATATTCATTTAAGAATCTCACTACATTTTTCCCTTTCCTTTTTAATTTGTACATGGAAATTGGCGTCAATAATTCCGGTTTATTGCTCCAATTTCTTTCCACGCTGTAAAACATTCTCTCTCATTGTACGAATATTCATAAATGTTCACTCCAGTACGATATCAGAGCTAATATGAGGTGCATTAAGTCCAGTACCGTATCAATTTCGGCTTATTAATGTTGAATCACCGTCAATTGCGCTAAGTGACGGAACAAACTGCATTGATCGGTGGAAACTGCAAACTGCATTGACTTTGGTTAAATTTGTTCTGATTTAATTAGAAATACGAGTTTCATTCATTTTCAAGTTTTATTGAAAATTATACAATTAGAACTTTTCGCGTTTTTTGCGCCCCCGTCCAAACGGCGCCCATGGCACAAGCCATGGCTGCCATACCCTAGATGCCTTTGTTGCCTATTTAAAGCGGGTCAATTCGGAGCAGACTATGTTCGCACTGAACAGAACTCAGCGATATAAGCGGCCACTAAAAAACTGGTTAAAATGAACGCTTCCGGCAAACTATTATGAACTATCCCTGGCATGAGCATATCAATTTTGTCCAATTTTCACTATGCTGAACCAACATTTGTTTGATTGGATTCTTTAGGAATCATCATGTTGCCATATGAATGGTTGCCATGAAAGTTTCCGCAAAGTTCATCATAGTTAGCTCTACAACTATGTCAAACCAGATGATATCCATTCAAGTGTTTTTTGAACCAATTTACATTAATAATAAAAAAACATTGGTTCAAAACTAGTGATGTTTGCAAAAAGAGGCAATTTCTTTTTTAAAACATGTTTTCGTGTGTCCACGGCGAACATGTCTATGGACACCAGGTTTAGTTTAGTATTGCTGGAAATCTATTGCCTTCCTACGCATATTTTTATTACAAAATTCTCTAAATCTCATAATTTTAGATTGTATTTGTCATGTTGGGTGGATACACTCTTAACAGAAAAAAGAGGATATTTGCCATTTCCGCCCCCTCCATTGGGGTGTAGTGATATATTTTCCGCCTTATTTCGTTGCATAATTTTATATACACCGTGCTAATGCATTCACAGGGTGTGTTACCAAACATTTTCTCCACTAAACTTGGTGGAAATGCATGAACGCGTCATGTCACGTGATATCGAGGTGACTGTGACGATGTGAGAAGGCTGAACGCTATTGGCTGAAATCGTTTCGAATATTTTTATGCGCGGTGACTTGACTTATCACTCTGCCGAGGCTTCGATGAAACTGTGCATAACAGACCGTCTGCGGTAAACAACTCCAATTTTCAATAGATAGAATAAGTGGGTGGGCACAGTTTGTGTTGAATGTGGAAAACTTACATTGTGTGGAGAGGTCTGGAGGTTTAAGCTTGCTGGTACAGGTAAGATTTCGAATTATTAAGTTGATGCTCACGTGTGATTAGTGTTTTTCCTAATAATTGCTTTTATGAGTGTCCGCACACCGAATTTGCCGCCATGGTTTTGCGTTTGTTTGTATATTAAACCACTTATCACCTTTTCCGCAATGCCCAATCTAGCAATCAGTGTAGTTTTTCATGGCTTGGTTTTTCTTAAAGCTTTCATGGCTTCATGAGTATGACTATCGTCGCAAATTTATTACATTCCACTCCCCACATAATCTTTGCATGAGGTTGTAGGTATTGGTCATTATCAACGTAATTGTTGAAAGAGAGTACAACAGCCCGAAAGTTTATTACTATCGTGTATTTTGTTTTTTAAGTTTGGCCCAAGCCTCATTTAATTGGGCATGTGTTTTTGTGTGCGTGCTGGTGGGCAGGCACATGAGATACTTCATGTTTTAAACTTTTTCGTAGGTTTTGCTTGCCCTCCAGAATTCTCCATTTTAAATTTAAGTTTGTTATGGAGTTTTCGAAATAAACTATCTATCTATGCTGATAAACAAACGCGAAATTTATCGGCCTAGTACCGGTACGGTACCTTAATCTAGTCATAATTAAATAATCGATCAGTCAATCCACTACTACTATTAGCCTACAGTGTTCATGTGGATTCAGATTGCGTTTAGCTAACGTTGCCAGTCAAGCAAACCAAAGCTTTGTTTGCTAATGCAGTAATATCAAGTGACCAGTACTAGATAAGACTAGGCTATAGCCTATAACGGTAAATACAGAAATATAAAGTTATCAGTAACTTAGTCTATATTGCGAGTCTAACTTCTGAACTTCATACCAGTAACGGGAGCGATCTCAACTAATTTTGATTTGCCAAACTTGCCAAAAGGATTCTGTACAGGCTATTGCAGTATTGGGCTTATTTATCTGTTTATAACATGTTTGGTAAGTCGAGCAGGAACAATTTATTTTTCTTTTGTGCTTAACTTGGAATTACACAATTTTAACAGCTATCATACATTTTGTTAGTAGCCTACTGAGCACATAACTTTCTATTCAGGATGTTGATTTTCTTGAAAATGAAGATGATCACAGTATTGGGACTTACAAGTAGATAATAGCAGAGGAACTAAATGAGAGAAATATAGCAGATGAGCAGTGCTGCAGTGAACAACTCATAGGTGAGTCTTGTTATTTTATGCAATAAATATATCGCCGGATGAGAACAGAACAGGCCTAAGTCACAATTTAGAGTTTTGAGAAAAATGCAAAAAAAAATTTGTAATTTTTTTCTATTTTCGAATTCCTAAATATTCACGCTTAGTAAATAACTGAGCTCTGGTTATTTTAGTGTGGATGAGAATATCTTTGTAATCGATATTTTTTGGCACTTCAGCTTCAATTTCTTCCAGCTTTTTTACCCCCATGAAGGATTTTGGCCCATTCTGTTCTCAACAACTTCTGAATTTTTTGTATGGGATGCAAAGTAAAACAAGGTGACTTAGGCCTAAGTTGCACTGAATAATTTTTTAGGGATGTGAGTTTCAGACATTTCATTTCTGATGTTCATGCTCATCATGCTGGAACTTAGGACTCTTTTTTTCAATATTTTGGGGTCCTGAGCATAAGGGTTTTGAGCCATGCCCTACATTCTACAAGGTGGTGGTCTTGAAATCCTGAATTTCTCAATAATAAAAATTTAAGCTGGACTTAGGCCCATTCTGTTCTTAACTTCTACAAAATATTATAGTCCTAGGTCCAGCTGAAATTTTTATTATTCAGGATTTCAAGACCACCACCTTGTAGAGCATGGCTCAAAACCCCAAAATATTGAAAAAAGATGAATTTTCTAAAAATGTGACTTAGGCCCCTTCTGTTCTCATCCGGCGATATGCAAGTCTAATAATGGTATATGTTTTTAAATCTAGTGCGTTGTATTTGGGTGTAAAATACAGTGCGAAATGAATAAAATGATGTCACCATTACAAACATATTGTTAAAAATAACTTTCTATTCAGGATGTTGATTTTCTTGAAAATGAAGATGATCACAGTATTGGAACTCACAAGTAGCTAATAGCAGAGAAACTAAATGGGAGGAATATAGCGGATGAGCAGTGAACAACTGATAGGTTGGTACATGTTTTTAAATCTAGTGCGTTGTATTTGGGTGTAAAATACAGTGTTGAGAATGAATGAAATAATGTCACATTTTTGATTCTATATAGCCTATATGTAGATGTATGATGATATCACTATATGCTTTAAAATTATGAAGAGTTAGAATCAATACTTAGAGTTAGACAAACTGAAAAAATAGCTAGTCTCTGTTGTTCATCACTTTTATAAATTACTATCATAAATTACTTGTCCAGTACAAGGACTCCAATTCAGTTGGAAACATTTTTATTGAATATTTTAGAAGTTAACATGCGACCGTTTTTCTACTGCAAAAGACATACTCATCTAATCTTTTTTTTTTGTATATTTAGATTGTAAGTCCAGTAAGTAAGCCCAGATCACAGTTCGTATAGAAGCTTTAATTACACAAAAGCAATGGCAGTGATGGACTCTTTGTTACAGGATTTTCAATATACAAATACCATTAGGTAGCAGAAAAGCTTGGCATTCATCACAGCATGCCTACTGCTCCTGCCAAATGAAGAATTCCCATTCAAAAAACAAAAAAGGCGTAACTTTCTCATTACTATATTTGCGACCTTTAGTAGTCAATTTCGCCGAATATTTACTGTTTTAATAAATTGTTTAAATCTTGAAAACCTGTCGTGGTTTCATGCTTCCTTTGGGTGGTTATAGTACGTTTCCAGGCTTGCAAGAAGGTTGATCTTGCTATCGATTTGGGTGGGGTTGTTAGGGTGGAAATGTTAAACACCTACCCAAAGGGTGGAAGAAGTAGAAAACCTTGTGAACCAAATATTTCGGTGGGAATCACCACTTTTTTCATTTAGAGTGTATGGTGGGCATACACATTCAACTTCATCCTAAGTTATGTTTGCCTCGGGTAGTTTGCTGTTGTTACGTTGTTTTGTTTTATATGATTAAATTCATTGAATGATTAGCTCCATATTCTCTTGACATTGATTTTCTAATAGGCACGCGGAATACTGGAATACACGAAAAGTTCAGTATTACAAAATTTTGAAGGCCTTTATTTCTGATCATTTATTATATGATACTCGTGGCCTCAAAAATTTTTCGAAATCACTGCCTCGAATTTTTGTTTACGCCAAATATGAAAAAAATCTCTTTTTTGTTGATTTTCGAAGCCTGTACAGAGTTGTGAACAAAACACATGCTTGTGAATAAAGTTACTTCTAAAAGCAAATTGATATTTGAATTGGATGCACTAAATGTGCGTAAAATTGATTTATAATTGTTTTTAAGACCTTCTTCTCATAAAGTTACACTTTATTTACCACCATTTTAATATTTTAACTTGTGACTTCAATTACTATTAAAAATCTTTGTCCAAAGTCGTTGGCAAGTTGCTGATATTATTTTAGTTTTAAACCGTCAGGCTCACATATATATTTTAATGGAATAATAGTGTTCCCTCATAAATCCAATCTTTTTTGTATAGTTTTTCATTGATTGCAAATATTACCCCTAATTACTGAAAGAGCCTAAGTTATTTGAAAAATTTGTTTTGTTGTCTGTAAACTTTAATTCTCTGTAGGATTGAATATAAATTATTAATTTGAAAAAATATTTTCAATGGGGGAGCTTTTTTACTGTGCGGGATTTCGTTGAAAACCCCAGGTTTATTAGTTCCTTGTTTTCTGCACCACTGTGAAGCTAGCAGGACTTTCAGCCAGAATATTTTTACACATTGAATATAGGTTCTACGCGCAAATAGTGTTCACTTATAGTTACATATAAAATTGAAAAAGTTGATCAAAATATAATTTTAGTACGGAAATACATGAAAAATCTTCAAACTGACTGAATACAATGAATTTGACAAAAAATATAGTGTTTAAGAAAAGACCAACTCAGCGAAAAATGAATTTTCAAGTATTCCGCAAATACGAAGTTTCGAAAAATTATCGTATTTAAAACGTCGATTTCTCGAAAACCGCCAATAAAGGCAGCACCACGACACATTCGGAAAAAAAAACTAATTCGTCATAGATTTGATATGTCAGAACAGTAGCAGCACGTTTTGACTTGAGTATATATAATACCAAAAATAGCGTATAATTTTCAATTTTAATAACTATGTAGATATAACATATTTAAAAACGGTTTGGTATTTCAACTGAATTTACTGGATAATTCATCAAATACTTTTTTCTCTTGGTCATACATCAAAACTGTACGTTCATTAAACTTATAATAAGTGGGCAAATCTTAAAATAACAAAAAATTATTTTACGCCCTCTTGTGGATTTTTTCCGGAATTTTTAAAAAAATATCGTTTTTGCAAAGGCGATTTCTCAAAAACCGCCAATAAAGGCAGCACTACGACACATTCGGAGAAAAGCAGGTACCTTATAGATTTAATTTCATTATGTTAGAACAGTAGCAGCACGTTTTGACTTGGCCATATATAATACCAAACATAGCGTATAATTTTCAATTTTATTAGTTATGTAGATATAACATATTTAAAAACGGTTTGATATTTCAACTGAATTTACTTGATAATGCATCAAATACCTTTTTTTTCTTGGTCATACATCAAAACCGTACGTTCATTAAACTTGGAATAAGTGGGCAAATCTTAAAATAACAAAAAATGATTTACGTCCTCTTTTGGATTTTTTCCGGAATTTTAAAAAAAAATATCGTGTTTGAAAGGGCGATTTCTCAAAAACCGCCAATAAAGGCAGCACTACGACACATTTGGAGAAAAGCAGGTACCTTATAGATTTAATTTCATTATGTTAGAACAGTAGCAGCACGTTTTGACTTGGCCATATATAATACCAAACATAGCGTGTATTCAAAATTTTATAAACAATGCAGACGTAACATATTTAAAAACCGTTTGCTATTTCAACTAAATTTACTAGATAATTTATCGAACATTTTTTTCTCTTGGACATACATATATACTGTACGTCCATTAAACTTGGAATGAGTTGCGGAAAGCATGATTTAACAAAAAAATCATTTTACGCCCTCTTGTTGGTTATTTTCAAAAATTTATCGTTTTTGAAATAGCGATTTTTCAAAAACCGCCAATAAAGGCAGCACTACGACACATTCGGAGAAAAGCAGATACCTTATAGATTCGATTTTATTTTGTCAGAACAGTAGCAGCACGTTTTGACTTGGCCAATCATAATACCAAACATAGCGTATAATTTTCAATTTTATTAACTATGTAGATGTAACATATTTAAAAACGGTTTGCTGTTTCAACTAAATTTACTGGATAATTCATCAAATACTTTCCTCTCTTGGCCATACATCAAAACTGTACGTTCATTAAACTTGGAATAAGTGGGCAAATCCTAAAATAACAAAAAATGATTTGACGCCCTCTTGTGGATTTTTTTCGGATTTTCAAAAAATATCTTTTTGAAATAGCGATTTCTCAAAAACCGCCAATAAAGGCAGCACTACGACACATTCGGAGAAAAGCAGATACCTCATAAATTCGATTTCATTATGTCAGAACAATAGCAGCACGTTTTAACTCGGCCAAATATATTACCAAACATAGCGTGAATTCAAAATTTCCTAAACAATGCAGACGTAACATATTTAAAAAGTGCTTTGTATTTCAACTAAATCAAACATCTTTTTCTATTAAACATACACCAATACTGTACGTTCATTAAACTTTGAATAAGTTGCGGAAAATATGAAATACCAAAAAAATCATTTTAAGCCCTTTTGTGGATTATTTTCAAAATTTCGTAAAATTATCGTTTTTTAAAGAGCGATTCCTAGAAAACCGCCAATAAAGGCAGCACTACGACGCATTCGGAGAAAGGCAGATACCTTATAGATTTGATTTCATTATGTCACAACAGTAGCAGCACGTTTTGACTTGGTCATATATAATACCAAACATAGCGTGTATTCTTCAACTTTTGAATAATGCTGACGTTAAAAATTAATAAAGCTGTCGTATTTTAAACAAATTTACTGAATACTTGTTCAAATATAATTTTCTCCCAGTCACACATCAATACTGAACAAAGTGAGAAATATATTTGATCCAATATCTAGCAAATTAAGTTGAAATACAAGCTTTTTAAGTTCGTTACGTCCATTTTAATATAAAATTTTGAAAACACGTTATGTTTGGTATTATACATGACCAAGTCAAAGTGTGCTGTTACTGTTTTGCTATGGTGAAGTCGAATCTATAAGTTATCTGATTTGCTCAGATAATCAAAATAAATAATCAAAAAATGTTTTGTTATTTTAAGATTCGCCCACTTATTCCAAATTTAATGAACGTACAGTTTTGATGTATGCCCAAGAGAAAAATTTGATGAATTATCCAGTAAATTTAGTTGAAATACCAAACCGTTTTTAAATATGTTACATCTACATTGGTAATAAAATTGAAAATTATACGCTATTTTTGGTATTATATATGGCCAAGTCAAAACGTGCTGCTATTGTTCTGACATATTAAAATTGAATCTATAAGGTATCTGCTTTTCTCCGAATGTGTCGTAGTGCTGCCTTTATTGGCGGTTTTCAAGAATTCTCTATTTCAAATACGATAATTTTTTGAAATAATCCACAAGAGGACGTAAAATGTTTTTGGTATTTTATACTTTTCGCAACTTATTCCAAGTTTAATGAACGTACAGTATATATGTATGTCCAAGAGAGAAAGATGTTTGATAAATTATCTAGAAAATTTAGTTGAAATACCAAACGGTTTTTAAATATGTTACGTCTGCATTGTTTATAAAATTTTGAATACACGCTATGTTTGGTATTATATATGGCCAAGTCAAAACGTGCTGCTACTGTTCTGACATAATGAAATCCAATCTATAAGGTTTCTGCTTTTCTCCGAATGTGTCGTAGTGCTGCCTTTATTGGCGGTTTTTGAGAAATCGCCTTTTCAAAAACGGTATTTTTTTAAAAATACCGGAAAAAATCCACAAAAGGGCGTAAAATCATTTTTTGTTATTTCAAGATTTGCCCACTCATTCCAAGTTTAATAAACGTACAGTTTTGGTGTATGACCAAGAGAAAAAAGTATTTGATAAATTATCCAGTAAATTCAGTTGAAATACCAAACCGTTTTTAAATATGTTATATCTACATAGTTAATAAAAAGTGAAAATTATACGATATTTTTGGTATTATATATACTCAAGTCAAAACGTGCTGCTACTGTTCTGACATATTAAAATCAAATCTACAAGGAATCTGCTTTTCTCCGAATGTGTCGTGGTGCTGCCTTTATTGGCGGTTTTCGAGAAATCGACGTTTTAAAAACGATAATTTTTCGCGAAACTTCGTATTAGCGGAATACCTGAAAATTCATTTTTCGCTCAGTTGGTCTTCTCTTGAACAC